GTATTGTAATTATAACCAAAACAATAGGTTCTTTCTTGGTGACTGCAAAGCCAATAAGCACAGCTAGGTCAAAAAATAGAGGAAGGTTTATTCCTTGCAACCAGCCAGAAGACCACAGTAGTTGTTCTAAAAGCAGCGAGTGCCTTTCAGACAAAGGAAGCATGCAGATTTTATTCAGGAATCCTGAACATACTTACGTATAAAATCACTTCTGAGCATGCTGTATTAAGAAGTACACTGTTGAGTGTGTTTAGTTTCAGAGGGAAAGATGGTGGATGCATTCCTGTACCTGTTTAGCCCAGAGTCATGAGGCACATACACACCATGTTAAAGTAAGTAAGAGACAAGAACACTTCTGGGTATGTTTAGCTTGCTTTATAAAGATGGCAGATGGAAATTCTTATGGGCACACTTAACTTTTTCCAAAAAGTCTTTAGCTGAAACAAAATGAAAGGATACTTTAAAGGTGTGTTCACATACAAATTTGCCCTTGAGGAGCCAGCATCCTGTGCTACTGACATAATTACTTCATTCTTCTTAGAAATGTATTTCCTTTTTATCATTCACTTTCATCTATTGGTTGAACGTAACACTTAAACATAGTATGAGCTCAAGTTAAGTATTTTCCCCAACAGGCACATTTCTACCCCCTAATTCTTTCATAGAATTTTGAGTTTAAAGATCATTTTCCCTCCAATTAAATTTATTCCAGTTAAAGTTGACTTATTAAAGAGCTGTTGAAGAAATTTAAGGATTTTAACATTTTTGCTTTAAAGTGTCTTAATTTATTATTGAACAATTACTGAGTGTCAGACCTGTACAGGGACCTGTTCTGCATATTGGAGAATCCTATCACTAAACAAAGTAAATGGTTAAAAGATGCTGTTCTGCTTACAGGAGGTAGACAGAAAACACACAAATTTGTAAATCACATAGACTTGTAAGGGCAAGGTGTCCTTTGAAAAAAGTATAGACTAGGTTAAGTGCTAGAGGCCGGGGTGGGTCCTCCCAGCTACCTTATCTAACTTAACCCTACTATCTAGCCTACAACCTGCCATGTGGCTGGCTCTGTACCTCTCTGCTCTGCTCTGGTCCATGCCTGTTCCCCTCCAAGTCCACTCTGGATTTCTTACTTCTGGTCTCTTCTCTCTATGTCATTCCTCTGCCTATAAGTTTTGCTCCCTACATCCTGTCCAGCTGTTGATCTTCAGATCTTTATTACAACCATTCAGTAATGAGACAATCTCTGATCCATTTCTAGATTGATTTTAGGCAGGTGAAGAAGGATGAATATTTACAAATAGAAAACCCAGTGATGGGCCATAGAAATGACAATACCATAATCCTTCCAGCACTTACCCCTCTGCTGGTACAGAATTAACAATTGAAAATATAGAGACACACCTTCACAATGTGAAAAAAGATTACTCCAACATCTTCAATCAATAGAATAGTATGTACTCTAAGTTATCAATCTTTTCTTTCTTTCTTTCTTTCTTTCTTTCTTTCTTTCTTTCTTTCTTTTCAAGGCAGTGTTTCTCTGTATAGCCCTGGGTGTCCTGGAATTTACTCTGTAGAGCAGGTTGGCCTGGAACTCAGAAATCTGCCTGCCTCTGCCTCCTAATTGCTGGGATTAAAGGCGTGCCCCACCACTGCCTGACAACAGTCATCAATCTTTTTTGCACAGAACTTCAATAACACAGTCCTTATTTGGTTTCCCAAATAAGGACTTCTACTTGTATGTGTGCTCCTCCTGACTCAGCTGTGATTTTGATACTTCATGGAGATCATGTACTTCAGATTGTAGTTTTGAATCATCAGAGTTTTTTTTTAATTTAATTTTTTTACTTATTCACTTTACATCCTCATCTCCATCTCCGCTGAGCTGGTTGGTGTGCCCCAAACCCCCATATCCCCTCACCCTGGCACTTCAAGTTTCTCCAAGGCTAAGTGCTTCCTTTCTTACTGAAGCCAGATAAGGCAGCCCAGCTAGAAGAATATATCCCACATACAGGAAACAGCTTTTGGGATAGCCCCCATTCCAGTTGTTCAGAACACACATGAAGACCAAGCTGCACATCTTTTACATATGTGCAGGAAGGTCCAGCCTGTGTATGTTTTTTGGTTGGTGGTTCAGATGGGGTACAGAACTAAACAGAGAATTCTCAACAGAGAAATTGCAAATGACTAGGAAGTACTTAAAGAAAGGTTCAAAGTCCTTAGTTATCAAGGAAATGAGAATCAAAACATCTCTGAGGTTCCATCTTACACCCATCAGAATGGCTAAGATCAAATACTCAAGAGATAGCACATGCTAGGAAGGATGTGGAGCAAGGGGAACACACCTCCATTGTTCATTGGAATGCAAACTTGGGCAACCATTTTGGAAATCAATTTGGAGGTTTCTCTGAATACTAGGAGTAGTTCTACCTCAAGACTCAGCTATACCACATCTGGACATATACCCAAAAGATGCTCCAACATCTCACAAAGACACTTGCTTAACTATTTTCACAGCAGCTTTATTTATAATAACCAGAAACTAGAAACAACCTAGGTGTCCCTCAAGTGAAAAATGGATAACAAAAATGTGGTATATCTGTACAATGGAATACTATTCAGCTATTTAAAAAAAGATTTTTAAAAAATCCTGAATTCAGGGGCTTGGAGGAAAGCAGGGTTTTTAAATATCAGAAATACTATTCTTTATGCTGGCATCTGGCACATCTTAAATGATAGAGAATGGAAAATCCTGATTTAATAATAATAATTCCCATTCAAAATTTGATGTAAGATCATGCTATCTTTTGGAAATTCTAGTTAGTAGTCATGAATTTTGTTATCTTTCTTTGTGTCACTAGAATTCTAAGTATTCCTGAAGGTTTCCTTCAATGAATTAATTAGAACTGGGCCTAGCTATTTCATGAGGACTGTCTCAGCCAGAGTGATGTGGGGCAGGTTTGTTGGTAACAGGTGACCACAGGTGATCATTAGCTTCCAAACATCATCCAGTGTATCTGCATTCCTTTGCTTCAGGCCTGCTCCTCGCTCATTGCAGTGAGGCCACAGACATGGGAGTTAGCCCTTATGAGCCTCAGTTCCTCTGTAATGCGGATTAGGGTAGATTTCACTTTTCTCATCACTTATTAGCCATGATTATTGCCCCAGGACCCTTCTCTAGGGGAGACCGGTAGATAGACACATAAGGGAAGAGCTAGGCTTCGGGTGAATGTTAGGGTAAATTAGAGCTGAGATAGTACAGAAACCATCTGTAGGTTGGTGAAATTTCTCTTCTGAAGAGGCTGCAAATGCAAAATTGAATGTTTAATTGATTGATTGAAGTTTTGATACAGCCTATGGTGTAATGAATTATGATTGATTGTACTTAGGAAGTACAAGGAAGTAAGCTGCATCTCTTTCCTGTGCCAAGCAGTGTGTCAGTGTTTGAATGTGACAGTCCCTTTTGTCCTTAGAAAACAAGTGATTTAATGTGACAGTCCCTTTAGTCCTTAGAAAGCAGAGAGGTCAGTAGTAGACAGAGACCCAGATCAGGTAACTCAGACAGGGCTGCAGACCAAGAATGGTGCAGGTCTACCTGCATTTCAGAAGGAGTTTTGACTTTTAAATAACATCATGTAAACACATTCTGAAATAACTAGAAATAGGTTGGGGTTTTTTTCTTTTGTTTTCCCCAAGGGAGAAAAGAAAGAACACATTACTTATATCTTCAGTGCTCACAGTCATTTTTCTTTTTTTCTTTCATTAACACTTCTTTATTAGAGTATTTTAAAAAGCTGGTGATGTTATCTTCATTTTGCAGATGGATAATATGAGATGTTGGGAAGGTAAAAATAAAGGTTTAGAAACATTAGTTTATATTGTTATATAAAATGAGCTAAGTTTTCATATAGTGCATTTAAATCCAGTCTCTGGACAAGCAGGCAAATAATTCAGCCAAAGGTAAAATGTATTAAGATTGAATTGCTATTAGTAGGAATGGAATACAGTGGGTTTATAATTAATTTGTAAATATGCTTTTCAAATTTTTCATTACATTTGTGTGTGTGTGTGTGTGTTCATGTGTGTAGAGATCAAAGGACAACTTGATAGCACTGAGGTTTCTCTTTCCACTATGTGGGTCCTAGAGATCTAACTCAGGTCATTGGGCTTGGTGGCAAGTGCCTTTAGTAAGCCATCTCACTGTCCCATATCTTTTATTAATCAGTATTTTCTTACAAGTTGCAAATGTATGGTTGATGCTATTTAAAAGGCATTTTATCAATTGAAGTTTATAAATAAATTACTTGATAAATACTGTGCTAGTTGCTTTTTTTGTTGCTGGCCAAAATACCTGAAAACAAAAAAGCCAACCCAAGGAAGGAAAGTTTGTCTATACAATGTGTAAGGGTATGGTTCACCATGACAGGGAGGCATAGCAAACAGAGGTTGAGGCAGGGCTGTTTACATTGCATCACAGTCGGGGGGAGGGGGGATGCTACTTTTCTTCCTTTGATTCAGCTTAGAACACCAGTCCATGGAATGGTATAATCCACATTTAAAGCGGGTCTTTCCACCTCAATTAACCTAATTTTTAAAAACCACTCTAAGACATGCCCTGAGATTTGTTTCCATGGTGATTCTAAATCCCATCATGTTGACAATCAAGATTAACCATTACAAATGCATGCCAAGCATCCACAAGTTCCAAAGCTCGTATTAGCTCTGTGGGTGGACTTCTGCCTCAGAAAGCCCAGAGAGGAGCCCCAGACAAGTGTGAACCTACCAGGATGGATGCTAAGAGATTTTGTAACAAACGGAAAGAAAGGAAGGTCTGACTGAGGAACCCGTTTCAGTTGAACGTGATGTCTACAGACAAGGAGTGGACAGTGGGGGAGAGAGGCCAAGCCAGAGATCGAAAGATAACCGTTTGGATTTGTAATTTGAGAAAGTAGCTTAATATAATTTTCATATTGGTTTTTAAATTTTATTTTAACTGGTAGAACCTTAAGAAGATTCAAGAAATGGAAAAGAGTGATGAATCTAGCACAGATCTGGAGGACCTGAAAAATGCGGACTGGGTAAGGAAGTGGATGTGCCTTCTGCTTGATTTAGCTTTAAAAAAATGCTGGTTATTAAGGACTGCAGCATGAATTAGTACATAAATTTGAATACTTGATTCTACAAGTAAATAAATTTTTCATTATAAAAACTTTTCTTTTGACAGAGCTATTTCCAAATATGGAAATATTTGTATTAACATTTATACTTATAAGTACTTTAAATAATACTCATGTACTCAAAATGAAAGCTCTGTGTAGCCTTGGTTGGCCTGAAACTTGCTCTGTAGTTTGACTTCAAGCCCATGTTTAATCCACAGAACTCATATAGTGGAAGGAAAGAACTGACTCCTGGGAGTTGTCTTCAGACCTACTGGCATACAGATGCTCACACACATACACACACATGTGCACAAAATACATAAACCAACATAGTTTTTTTAATTAAAAAAGAAAAATAGGTAGAAAGAGAGAACTAACTTTGTATACAGGGTTGTCTTCTGACTGACATATGCACCACAGGGGAAAGGGGCATATCCACATATACATACATCACACCTGATAATAATAGTAATGACTCTCTTGTCTTTAAAAATAATAATTAAAATAATAATCCAAACTACAGCAGTTACTAACCAGAACTTCACCTCTTCTTCACGACACCACTCAGGTGAATTGTCTAGAAAGGTGAGAGTGGAAGGAGGGAAAGGTGGAGAGACTGGTCATTGTAAAGGCAGCCAGACGACAGCATCCATCCTCAGAAGAGAGTGGGGAAGTGTACTGTTACACATCATAAATAAAAAGTCTGGAGAACTCTTTTAGAAATGTAATCACTTACTTTATACAGAAAAAAAATGTTTTGGTATTGGAAATATGACCTAGAAACTCATACATACTAACCACCTCCTCTATCACTGAGCGACACACTTGAATGTGGAAAATTCCTATGACTTGACTTTGCAATAAATACATTTAGACAGCTATTGAAATCACATTAATTTTGATAAGGTACATTTTAATTAAATACTGTATTGATTGACTTTTCACTGAACTAGACAATGATAGGTGGTAAGACAGGAGAACAAACAGATTAAGGAATAATAAGCACACATTTTAGTATATATTGAAAAATTGTCATTTTGGGAATTTTATATATATAAAAGACAAGATATCAATTCTTCATTATTAGTTATTTCTTTCTGATAAGATGAACTCAGAAAGGCAAAGGTACTGCTGGATGTCAGAAGCTAATGGCAAGTACTTGGATCTGCCAGCTGTAGCTACAGGACAGCTGTAGCTGTGACACTGACCAGGACAGTCTAGAGTGTAAAGCAGTGAACTTAGCTAGCTCGCTCACCATTCTGCAGGGCAGCTGTGGTATCTCTGCTCTGTCCTAGGAACAGAGCCACCAAGCTTTTACTTGATATTTCTCACTGCATGAGGAAGAAGCATAGGAGGACAGCTTGCTGTACTTGTACTGCCCCCCCCCACACACACACACCCTACATGGCCAAATCCCAAGTCAAGGTGTGGAGAATACAGCCTTCAGTTAGCAGAGTCTCACAGTAGTATATATTAGGGACATATCTTTTAATGCAGCCTACTGACTTTTTACCAATCCCATAATATCCTAAAATGTTATGTTTCCTTTACTTGGTGTTTTATAATCCATGCCTTTTCTTGATTCTCTATGACTGTAACCATTCAGAGAAAACTAGCGAATTATTTCTTGATAACTATCCATCCTTGGTTCTTTCAGGCACGATTCTGGGTACAAGTGATGAGGGATTTGCGAAATGGGGTAAAACTTAAGAAAGTCCAACAGCGGCAGTACAACCCGTTGCCCATTGAATACCAGCTCACCCCTTATGAGATGCTCATGGATGACATACGGTGCAAAAGATACACCTTAAGAAAAGTAATGGTAAGCACTCACACGGTTGCCTGTGCCTTATTTGTTAAAAATGGGCTAGTCAAGTATTAATTATTCTTATAAAATACTTGATCACTATAGAAACTTGGAAAATACTTTTAAGCTCAAAGAAGGAAAGTTAGGAACATGTGATTTCATAACCAAGAAAAATTTTGTTATCATGTTGCTTTTCCATTTGCCTTTATATTCATTTAGAACCCCACCCTCCCACCCCACCCCCATTTTCTGGTGAGTTTTATTGCTCTTGTTTTGAGACAGGGTCTTGTTGTGTTATACTGACTAGCCTGGAACCCACTATGTAGACCAAAGAGCCTTAAGGGCAGTTCACATGCCTCTCCCTTTGCCTCCTGAGTGCCAGCAATTCAAGCATGTGCCACTGCCTAGCTTAATCAATCCTCAGTCTTGTTTCTGTACTTTATTAGACAAAATGGGCTGATTTCAGTGTATAACTTGTTAAGCTTAGGTTCATGTTGTATCTTCTGTGTCATTAGTTCAACATTACTACTTCTAAATGATTACATATTTTCTAGCTTATGGCTATATCACAGGTCATTAAAGTAATTGTGTCAATATCAGCTATAAGCAGGCCATTTTATGTATCCTATTCTACACACCTTTATTAGTAGCTATACAGTGAAGTCCTTAAACAAAGATCTAAGGAAGGGAACTTCTAGCTCATTGGCAAATCCTGGAAGCTCTGACCTGAAAATGTCTCCTGTGTAAACAATTTGTTCTCAGTCCCATTTCCTGTCCTAGTCACCTCACATCTCACTGAGACTGTCACAGGGCCTCACTATCCTCCTGTTTGCTAGGGCTATGAGTCTGTAATAGTACATCTCTAAATTTTTAGTCTTTTCCCCCAATATAGGTCTGTCCTGAAGAAATCACATACACTTAAGAAAAATATGTATTCTAAAGCTGCCAGGTATAGTGACATACATTTGTGATTCCCGGTACTCAGGACATGGAGGTGAAAGGATCCTGAGTTCAAGGCCACATAGATTACATAACAAGAATATCACAGGAAAAAGGAAGAGGGAGGGAGACAGAGGCAGAAAGAGAGGAATATCTCTTTATTAGGTGGAGAATTCTAGTTAATTTATGAAAATTTTCAAATCCCTCTTTTTGTTTTTTGGTTGATCTTCTGTTTTGTTTAATACACTATTGTAAATGAAATACTGAAGTATCCAACTATTGTGGAATTGTTCATTTCACTTTCATTGTTTGCTCATATATTTTGGACTGGAGTTTGGTTCATATATACTTACAGTTGTTACATTTTCAATATCTAGTGTCTGTTTTGTCTTTTGTGGTAGCTGTTTGCCAGACATGTTTGATAGGCTGTAGTATTGCTGGCCTAGCTCTTTTCTTCATCGCTTCCTGTTTACATGTCTTCTCCATCCTTCGCTCTTAAGCTCATTCATGTTACAATTTCTTTTTAAAGATTTATTTATTTTATGCATTTGAATGCTTTACCTACATGTATGTACATGCACTCTGTGTTTGCCTGGTGTCCAAGGGCCCAGAAGGTACCAGATCCCCTGGAACTGGAGTTACAAATAGTTGTGAGCAACTACTCAGGTGTTGGGAATGGAACCTAGGTCCCCTGCAGCCAGTGCTCTCCCTGAGTCATCTCTCCAGCCCCTTTTTAATTTTTTGTTTTATTTTAAAGGTAATTCACTCACTATAAGCATTATAAAATATGTATAAAATAAAATGCAGTTCTACCATTTTGAAATGTATTTACTTCTTGATATTTTATATACTATTATATATAATATGATTAAATTATATATTCTTGTAATGCCATATAAACTTTCCCTTCTGTCAAATATGTTATAAATTTGTTTCTATATCATAAAATATATTTATATCATTTTAAAAGATTCTATGTACATCAGTATTTTTCCTGCATCTGTGTATGTTGTGTGCATATCTGGTACCCATAGATATCAGATGCCGGCATTGGGGCCCCTGGAACTGGAGTTATAAATGGTTGTGAGCTCCCATGTGGGTGCTAGGAACCAAACCCAGGTCCTCTGCAAGAGCAGCAAGTGCTCTTAAACAATGGGCCATCTCTCCAGCCTTTTTTTTTTAAATTATTTTCTTCATTGTTGTTTGGAGACAGAGTTACCTTGCCTGGCTTTGAACTCTGAATGTAACTAAGGATGCCCTTGAACTCCGGATCCTCCTAGCTATCCCTCTTGAGTCCTAGAATTATAAACATGCCAGCATTCCTAGCTGATTTAAAATTTGAAAATAATTTGGTTTGAGTACATAATGCATTTCATCATTCTAAAGAACAAATTATGATTTGCCTTTGAAAAGTTGCCCTTTAATAAGCTTGTTTCTTAGAGACAACCAACGTTGTTTCTTTGTATTGTTTTCTGGTGATATTTTGTGTGTGCCTGCTTTCCTGTTAATTATGTGCACATCTCTGACACATTACAGGCCCTGCTGTGTCTGTATCTGCTGATTACACTGTGAAACAGCATGCACAGAGCTTTCTACAGTGTAGTCTACATCTCATTCATTTTAAGTTAGCATGCCATCTTACTGTGTACTGTCATACGGACACAGTGCTGTCCTTTGCTCCTTCCCTCCTCCATGCCCATCTTCTCCAACAGCCCCACTTCTGCTCTTAATCTACACCAGTTCATGTAGCCAAGGCAGTCTAGAATTTTTTAAAGACTTATTTTTATTACATCTTAATTATGTATAGATATGTGTGTCTGTGTGTAGGTAATCGTACAAGAGTGCAGGTGTTCATGGAGGCCAATGGGATCGAATCCCCTGAAACTGGAGTTATGGACATGTTGAGGGACACAGAGGCCCTTATAATCACAGAAAGGCATTAAGGAAAATCAGGAATGTTAAACTCACAGGGGCCTCTTCTCAGTGGAGGAGATAAAAATACCTGCTTTCCCATCCAGAAGGCTGCAAGTGGATTTTGTTAGCAACCTGGTGACCTTTTTGCCATCTGTGCAGGCAGACCTCACCCATCTTTTTGCTATAGAGACAGACCTCACCCAAATTCTCCAGAATGGTTATTCCAGACTCTTTCCTCCCTAAACTGTTATTCATCCTTAGAGGAGATGTCACATGTACTTTATGACCTGCTGACGTCTATGCTATCGGTCAGAGACCACACTAGATTCTAGGCCTTTTAGCTATAGAACACACCCTCATGGTCCCATGTATTTTGTAAAGGAGTTTCTATGTAGTCACTCCTTAAACTTTATTGTATGCCTGGAACTGGACTGATTGTTTTCTAGAAACCATGTAGAGTGTCTTGAATATGCTGACAGTGAACTGCCTGGCATTAGATTCCCCAAAGTCTGATCCAGTTGACATAGTTTGCACTGGGTTTTTGTTCTTATCGCTTCTCAGATCGCAGCACGCATTGACACCTGTCAGGACCCCCACATAGACAGTTGTAAATTACCCAGTGTGGGTGTTGGAAACTGGACTCAGGTTCTCTGGAAGAGCAGCAAGTGCTCTTAACTACAATCCTACCCTAGCCCATGGTATACAATTATTAATAGCCCAGAGTAATCTATAACGGGCAAACCATAGTTGAGCTAATCTATTGTTTACTGTTTTTAATCTTTCTTTTTTTTTAAAGATTTATTTATTTATTTTATTTATGAGTACACTGTAGCTGTCTTCAGACACACCAGAAGAGGGTATCCAATCTCATTACGGATGGTTGTGAGCCACCATGTGGTTTCTGGGATTTGAACTCAGGACCTCTGGAAGAGCAGTCAGTGCTCTTAACCACTGAGCCATCTCTCCAAGCCCGTTTTTAATCTTTCTTAATATAAGTTGTAGCCACACAGTTACTGGCTCAGTGGATATACATGTTTCTAAGGCAGCGGTTCTCAGCCTACTACTCTTTAATACAGTTCCTCATGTCATGGTGACCCCCAACCATAAAATTATTTTTGTTGCCACCTCATAACTATAATTTTGCTACTATTATGAATCATATATAAATATGAGATATACAGGATTTCTGATATTCTATTTCTAAAGGAGTCTTGATCCATAGGTGGAGAAGGTCTGCTCTAAAAACTAATAAATATTGCCAGATTGTCTAATGTACTTGTAAGCCTCTTTGTGATTTGAAAGCCAGATAAACATATATGAAGTCATTCTGAATTCTAAGATCATAGCTTTACATAGTTCTAAAGAAGCTGTTTTCTTTACATGAGCTATGGCCTCAGGTCAGACCATAAGGGTTTTTAGCCCTCTTTATGTTTGGCGTTAGCAGAAGTGTACATCCCAGCTTTGAGCAGCTTACTGAAGTGCAGCATCAGTGAACCATGACTTCATTTCCAAAGAGCTGCTAAAAGGGAAGGCTATGAGGGATGAGAACTGGGTGGATGACAATAAAACAGCTTACTTTTATCTGTTTTACTTCAAATTCAGCTGCCTTGAAATGTTTTCTTAAGAAACTAGACAGAGTACAGGGTAGTTTTAAAATACTTCAAAGAAATCACTTTTCGTATGCTACAAGATTTTTGTTTGTGAACCATTGTGCCCTTAAAATATGATCAGTTTCCTGTAATTGATCCTATTTTCTTTGAATTGACAATTTGTCCATAAGAAATGGAATCATTTCTTATTTCAGTTGGGACTGCTTTTTTGTTTTGACAAGGGTTCTATGACCTGAGAATGCATCTGCTGGCCCATTAGCAGTGCTTGCTACACACTGGAGCTTCCTTTGTATCCACTCACAGGGTCCTCAGCAGGAGCGTCAGTGCACAGTGGGGTGCAGACCCAGCTTGTAGCTCTTGGACACTGAAGATAAAGTCAGATGTGTTAGTGCATGCACGTGGGAGTTGGAAACAGAAGGATTAAGAGCTTGAGGCATAGCAGCTTGAGGTCAGCCTAGGCTACGTAAGACCCTGACTGAAAAGCCAGAAACACCAGGAATGAATCTCATGTTGGAATTTGCAAGCTGATTTCATTTTTTCCATTTTTTCTTGGTCTTTTTGTGATGGAAAAGTATTAAAGACATATAAAAATTATTTAGAAGAATGTATTACTTTTATTTAAAAGTAGACATCTAATTCTATATCAACAGGTTTTTAAAAATGCTGTGTACTGGGAAATCCACAAGTAATGTCATACCATAGCAGAGCTAAGTCACACAGTCCCTGCTCCCCCCAACCCCCACTTTTGGGTTGATTTGTTTTGTTTTGTTTTGTTTTTTGAGACAGGGTTTTTCCATTTGTATTCCTATGTATTCCTAGTTGTCCTGGAACTTGCTTTGTAGGCCAGGCTGGGCTCAAACTCACAGAGATTCGCTATCTCTATATCCTGAGAGCTGGGATTAAAGGAAAGTGCCACTACTACCTGGCTCACAGCTCCCCTTCTTAAACTCACATGCTGGGCTGGGCTCTATAATGATTGTTATTGATGCTTGCTATGGAACCTGGATATAGGGCACAGGGCAGAAAGTGACGCTGTTAGATAGTTACCAGTGCAGTTGTCACGGGAAGGATCAGGCCTGAGGTGGCAGTTCAGCCTGTTTTGTTTAAATAAGACTGGGAAACAAAGCCACGTATGATAGAGCACACCTGTGACCCCAGCACTTAGGATGTAAAAACAAAAAGATTGGAAGTTCACTGCATATCAAGTTCAAAACCAGCCTGGAGTACATTAGACCTTATCTCAAAAACCTACCCCTTAAAAAAGACAGCAAAACATTTGGTAAAGTGATCACAGCTGTGCCATCAGGAAAGCAGAATCTCTGTTATTAAATGTACAACGATGACTCCTCTAGTCACATGATCTGATTTGTTTTGGTTTTGTCTCCTTTTAGGTAAATGGTGACATTCCCCCTCGGTTAAGAAAGAGCGCTCATGAGATCATCCTTGACTTCATCAGATCAAGGCCCCCTTTAAATCCAGTATGTAATTTAACACTCTTGCTCCAGGGAGGGCGCTGTAGCACTCCACCAAACTTTCCCTTGAGAGTATGAAGCTCTCCTGTAAATTACAAACTAAAGCACAGAGACATACCTTCAGTTTTTTAATATAATCATTTGATATGTCTCCACTCAAAACTCTTCTTGTTGTCTGACCTCCAATAGTGCAAGCACACAAAGTAAATTGTACACACATACGTATGTATGTATGTATGTATATATGTATGTATATATGTATGTATGTATGTATGTCTTGATACTGATTTGAATAGTCTTTTATTAGGCAACATTACAGTCAGTGACATATAGTTTATAATTCTACATTGTATGAATGACTTTATTAAATAAAGAATAATCAAGTCTCTAACCATTGTACTCCCTTTTCAAGGCTTCAGCCAGAAAACTGAAACCCACCCCACCAAGGCCACGGAGCCTCCATGAAAGAATATTAGAAGAAATTAAAGCAGAAAGAAAGCTGCGGCCTGTCTCACCAGAAGAAATTAGACGGAGCAGACTAGGTGAGTCTCCACTTTGTATACTCATGAATCACCGCTAGGAAAATTGTTTGTACTTATACACATGAAAGTTACTTCGCAGACTTCTCAGTCCTTTCTCTAGACCCCTCCTCTGTTTTCCTGTCTCTTTCCTTCCCCTCTCCTTTCCCCCTAGCTACTGCTTGCATGCATATACCCTCACATTTGTTTACATTTGAAATGTATGTGCCATGACAGGTTTTTCCTTCTCTGATGTTGAACTAGATAAGAGCATTGTGACATAGTGGCAAGAGTGAGGTTTAAGGATGGCACTTGTGGTTTGAGTAGGAATGACCACTTAGACTCATGTGTGGATGCTGAGCCATAGGGAGTGGCATTGCTGGAGGAAGTATCTCACAGTGGGGGCAGGCTTTGAGGTCTCCTGTGCTCAAGCTCTACCCAGTGTGGCTCCCACTCTCCTACTGCTATCTGCAGATCAAGTTGTGGGACTCTCAGCTCCTTCTCCAGCACCATGTTTGCCTGCCTAACTCAATGCTTTTCATCCTGACAATGATGGTTTACCTCTGAAACTGTAAGCTAGTTTCAGCTAAATGTTTTCCTTTATAAGAGTTGCCAGGGTCATGTGTCTCTTTACAGCAATAAAACTAATATAACACTCTTTCCCTTTCTAAACACAACTGCTTTTGTCATCAGAAAGGAGTATAAAAGATCTTACTTCTATTATATTTTTTTCTATAAGAACTAAATAAGATCTTGGTAAAAAGAGGAAAGAAAAACCTTATAAACAAACATGTGTACAATGCTAGATGATAGATACATAGTATTACTTCATTTCTTTCAGAATCCTTCTAATTGTGCCTGTGTGGTGTGTGTGTGTGTGTGTGTGTGTCTGTCTGTCTGTCTGTCTGCCTGTGTGTGTGTGGGGGGGGGTGTACTTCTTTGTATGCACAGACACAGGCCAGAGGTCAACCTAAGGGAATGTTCTGCTATTGTCTCCCATATGTTTTGAGACAAAAACTTTCACTGCACTGTTGCAGGTAAGCTAGCTGGCCCAGTAAGCCCCTGGAATCCATTTGTCTCCACCCCTCCCAGCACAGCTTTTACAGGAGTGCTGGGGATCCAGACTCAGGGCCTCAAGCCCGTGCAGCCAGCCCTTTACCCACTGAACTCTATGTGGAAGGACTTTCCATAGTGGCCATACCAGTTTGTGTCCTCTCCAGCAGCAGCAGCAGATGGCCTAGTTGTACATCCTTGCTCCACCACTGGGGGCTTCGAGGGCCTTGTTTATTTGACAGTAACCGTCCTGCCATGTCTAAGGTGATTTCCCGTTGTAGTTTGGGTTTTCATTTCCCTAGTATTTGAGGATTGATGTTTGAGCATTCTTCATGTAGTTGTGAACGACTTCTGTGTCACCTTTGCATTGCCTGTTTAGGTTCTTTGCTTGGTTTTAAGTCAAGGCCATCAGTTATTATTTTATTATTGAGTTATTACTTGTTAACATATTTTCACTATCAACCCTGTGAGTTGTGTGAGGAGAAAGCTCCTGTCCCCCATGAAGTAAGCTGCCTCTCAACTGTAAGGGTCCTGCAGCAGCAGGAATATCAGCAGCTGGAAGCAAATGAGGACTAGAAGTCCTCAACCTCTAGTGCAGACCTCGCTGCATGACCTAATGTCTGTCAGTCTGTCCCTGCCCACTGCAGGCTTTACAGCCTCCCAGAACATGACCCCAAAGGGGACATTCAAACCACAGCACCATAAGAATTTCAAGACTGGCTTGCTGTTTCTGGGACAACTACTATTAAGATTCCCATGGAATAGGCAGGAGGAGGCTGGAGGGATGACTTAGCAGGTGGGAGCACTGGCTAGTCCTCCAGAAGACATGGGTCCAATCCTACTACACTCACATGGCAGCTTACAACTGTCTCTAACTCCAATTCCAGAGGATCTGCCACCAGCCTCCTATCCCATGCTTCTGGGACTTGAGTGCCCATATACGTATGTAAGTGATGTATACACTTTCATGCAAGCAAAATACTCATACAATATACAATTAAATAAATCTTTAAATTTTTTTCTTTAAAAAGAAGATTCTCTAGGGGCCTAGGAATATAGCTCCATGGTAGAATATTTGCTTATCATGAATAAGGCCTTAGTTTAATCCTTAGGCATGGTGGCACACGCCTTTAATGCTAACACTCAAGAGGCAGAGGCAGATGAATTTTTGGGAGTTTGAGGCCAACCTGGTCTACATGGTGAGACCTTGTCTCAAAAAAAAAAAAAAAAAGAAAAGAGAAAGGGTTTTCATGGGAACACACATCTATAATCCCAGCACTTGTGTGGATGGCAAAAGGATCATTCATTAAGCCAGCCTGGGCTGTATATGCTGTGTAGCCTTAAAGAGAGGGAGGAGGAAGAAGAGGATAGACACAGGGAAAGAAAAGAAACACTGATTTTTTTTCTTTTTACTGGGATTGAGTTGAATCTGTAGGTGACTTGGATATATTGATTTTGTTTTGTTTTGCTTTGTTTTTGAGACAGGGTTGCCATGTAGCCCTATCTGGCCTGGAACTCAGAGAAATGCCCCTGCCTCTGCCTCCCAAGTGCAGGGATTAAAGACATGTGCTACTCTGCCCAGACGGTATATGGCTACCTTAACAGTATTAATTCTTCCAGTATAAGAGCACAAACCACCTTTGCATTTATGTCTTATAGTTTTCCACATCACTAATATTCCTGACTAGCCTAATATTTTTAGTGATAAAAAGAATGGGCTTGTTTTCTTGTGTTACTTTTTATGTAGGTTAAATTAACACACAATACATGTGTCTTATGCTGATTTTCTATCAAGAAACTTGACTGAATTTAGTAGCACTTTAAAAGAGATTTTTATTACTATTTTCCTTTATGTGTATTGGTGTTTTGTCTGTATGTAAATTCGTGTACCATATGCATGGCTGGTACCTGTGGAGTTAAAGATACTTGTGAGTTGTCATGTGGGTCCTGAGATCAAACCCACATTCTCTAGAAGAGCACCCAGCTGAGCCATCTCTCCAGCCCTGCTTTAACAGTTTCATTTTAGTTTGGTTTTAATGGCACCTGTAGGATTCTCTTTATAAGACTGTATCTATAAACTGGGATAATTTTATTTTTCCTTCCCAACTTGGATATCAGTTCAGCCATATTCTCATTTTATCTGTATTGTTTTTCTTGCCTAATTGCTTTAATTAGGAGTCCTAGTATTATGATGAACACAAGAAAGTCCATGTTTGCTTTATTTCTGACGTCAGAGGAAAACCTTTCAAGTTTTCACTGTTAGGGGTAGTGTAATGCAGTCTTTCTTATGTAGACCTTATTCTGGCAAAGTAATTTCTTTGTATTCCCAGCTTGCTGAGTTTTCAGCCTGAGAGGGTTGTTTTGTGAAATGCTTTTTCTGCAGTTTTTGAGATGGCTATATGTTTTTTGAATCCTCTAATCTGTTAAATGTGTATCACATTAATTGCTTCTAGTCTGCTTTTTCTCTTGCTTTAGTAAATAAGTACTTTGACCAAAAGTACTTACAGTTTAGAGGAGGAAAAGATTTATTGCATCTTACCCTTCCAGGTCATAGTCCATCAATGAGGGTCTGTCAGGACTGGCACTCAAGCAGGAACGGAAGCAGAAGCCATGGAAGAAGGCTGCTTACTGTGGGTTGCTCACTAGCTCCTGCTCAGCTAGTATGCTCTTTTGTTTTTATTTTTTTATTTTAAGATTTATTAATTTTTATACATGTGAGTACACGGTTGCTGCCTTAAGACACACCAAAAGAGGGCATCAGATTCCATTACAGATGGTTGTGAGCCACCATGTGGTTGCTGGGAATTGAACTCTGGCAGAGCAGCCAGTGCTCTTAACTGCTGAGCCATCTCTCCAGCCCTCAGCTAGTATTCTTATACAGCAGAGGCCCACCTGCACAGAGATGAGCCTTCCCACATCAATCATCATTTAAGACAAATCTCTGACAGACCAGTCTGACTGAGACAATTCTTCAATTGAGTTCTCTTTTCCCAAAGGAATTTAGGTTTTGTCAAGGTAAAAAAAAAAAAAAACAAAAATAAAACAAAACAAAACAAAAAAAAACAACAACTAACTAGGATACCAGGATACCAGGATACCATCCTTTATCATCCTTGTGTCCCAGAAATAAATCTCAGTTAGTCATGGTGTATGACCTTTTAAGGTTTTGTTTTCTTTCTTTGTGTTTTAACTTCAGTGTTTCTTCTCCTTCTGTGTTTTAGAACAGTTTGGAAAAGATTGGAATTAACTCATCTTTCACAGTTTGGTAGAGTCATAGGTGAAGCAATCTAGTTTGGGACTTTTCTTCTTGGGAGATTTTCTGTTTGTTTTGTGTTTTGAGAGAGTGTCTCATAGGTCAGGTGCTTCTTAGACTTGCTCTGTAGCTAAAGATTGATTGATTCAGGTGCTAACATCACAGGCCTGTGTCCCCACTCTGATACTTCTGTTTGTTTTTCTGAGACAGGATCACAGATCTGACAGGCCTCAGACTCACTATATAGACCATACTGGGTCCAGACTTGGAGTGTTCCTCCTAAGTGCTGAAATCTCAGGTTGGGAGCTTGTGGACTACTGATTCATTCAGTCTCTCATGGCAAGACTTCTCATACATATTTCTTTATTTCACCTTTCAAGATTTTATTTAAAGGCTAACCCTGCTTTAGAAAAGTTGAAGGATAGATTTATGTTGAGTTTGCTGTATTTAACCCTGAGCACTGATTATTCAGACACTGGTGAGGTGCCTCAGCTGGTTAAGGCACTTGCCACCAAACCTGATGATCCAAGCTTGATCTCCAGTAGGACCCACTTGGCAGAAGGAGGACTCTTTAGGTTGTCCTGAGACACACACACATGTAAAATAAATTTTTAAGGAAAGTGATTACTTTGGTTTTCTTGCTTCTAGAATTCTGAGTTTAAACTAGTCTTAAGCCTCAAATGGAAAGTAAGACATTTTGCTTCCCCACCTCTACCCC